CTTGCAATCCAAGCATGATACAAACAAGCAGCTCCTGCAGCACAGGAAATTCCTGCACAAGCTCCATGCCACCTTTCCAAATCTGCGAGCTAAAATCACATTTGGGGGGAGAAAAGATGATCTCTATTTTCAACATGATTCTCACACAAAACACAGATTTCATCTCCAATTACACCCATATTCTTCAATCACTGCAAGGTAGGTAGTCTATCGCAACATGGAAGCCAGAAAATAAATGAGTGCTTAGGAACATTATACCTGCTCCAGACTAAATGAGACCAAGGTTTAATCTCTACATTTCCAGCTAAAACAGAACAAGTAGCGGCAGTACTAAATGCTGTTTTAGGGCCTTTTTCCCTGCAGGATGCCATTCAGATCATCAACACAAAGCAAGACTTCATTTCTGGGCTTAAGAAGCTTTGTAAAAAGCCACCCAAAAAAATGAAGAAGAGTAAAAGAAAGATAAGAGAAGAAAAGAAAATGCTAAATGCCTGTCGAAGGAAATGAATGTCACTAGAAATCAAATGCAAATAAATTTCATATATCTCTCAGTTGAGTTTTTTTGAGGAAGTTTTTTTTTACAAGTATCCGATTATTTGAAAACCACTGACCCATAAACAAGGTTGGATTACAGTTATACATTGAATATCCAAGATCAATCATTATCAGTAAGAGGAAGGAGGCTGCCATGGAAGAATCAACGTGAGACCACCAAAGTTAAGGACTTGCTAATACAGATCAATGCCATCAAATGACATAGCACAAAGAAGCATGAAGAGATATGCTATACGTTAGGAGAGTAAATTTCCCTTTTGAGCTGAAATCTGTCAGTCAGTTTGCTTTCGATCATACATAGGACATATCCCCAAAACGAAATCAATGTCACACACGGCCTGACACAAAAGGCAGATCCAGCAATTGCAAGTACATGCTCCATTTTTTCACCTAGGGAGTATCAAGCACGTCAGTTAAAGGATCTCTAAACTCATAAATTGTACATAAGAACAAGCAAACCATAAATTGCTCAGATTCTTGGAAAAAGGCTCGGAAGTGTGGTATAAATCATAATGGTTATTGTTTGTCTATTCTATTCATGAGGTTATACTCTCGCCGAATCTGAGCAAGCTTTCAAATCATCATTGAAATTAACGTTTCCACTTTCCAGAAAGTGTCCCTAAACACTAAAAATAGAAAATCTACTTGATAAAAAAATGAATATTTTGACAAGTATAACACTTCAATAGTCCATTAATTGAAAGTTATATAGATGTACGTGTCGTATCTATTCCTCTATAATTAAAAGAAGAAACCAAAGAGTCACTGTTATGCTACAGTAAATACTGTTGCGTAAACATAAACCAAAACTGATTTTCTCACCATTTATGCTAAGTAATTCACTGTATTATAAAACAGTGAATCAAATCCGATTTTTTAGATGTAAACCACATTTACTTGCTAAGGTATTTGCAATGTCACACCTAATCCAGTTTTCAGCCAAAAATACGCGAAATGACTATTTTATCCTCACCATTTTCCTTTTTCCATCTCCTTCCTCACAAACCCTAATCCTAACCCTAGCCTCATCATCCTCCTCTTCTCCCCATCTTCCCTCTCCCTCCTCCCCAACTCCCCTCCCCCTCTCTCATCCTCCCTTTTCCTCCCGACCTCCCACTCTCCCATTCATTCCAAGTGAGAACTAGGATTAGGGTTAGGGTTTGGGGAGGTGGCGGTCATGGGTTAGGGTTTTGGGGGAGATGGCGGCCATGGATTAGGGTTAGTGTTTTGGGGGAGGTGACTGCCACCGATTAGGATTAGGGTTAGGGTTTGTAGAAGAGGAGAATGGAGGAGGTTAGGGTTAGGGGTTGGAAGGAAGAAGATGGGGTAAAATGGGGATATCTGATTTTCATGGGTGAATAATAAAAAAAGGTGTGACATTGGAAACATGTTAGCAAGTAAATATGGTTTATATTAAAAAATCTTTAAAAGTGGTAAGTATCAATTTTGGTAAAAGTAAAAGTGGTTTTGATGTAAAAACACTAAAAATAGAACATATTTCCTATACGTATGCAGCATCATGTCACATCATATGACAATAAATAAAACAATTATTTGCAGAAGCACCTTCTATACTATATAGTCACAATTGCAGCAACTTGTCACTCATGCTCTATTTTATTACCATGCACATCTCCTACCTTAGTCTTTCAAAGCTTTCGTGAGAACCTTACAGGAATGTACATGTGAAAAGTTTGACTTTGATTATTTGGTGATTCCCATGCGACTTTAAAAGAGTAACGAGAAAACCACGCCATCAAGAGAGGTAAGGGTTGCATGTGTTAATAAATTAGAACATATTTGATATGTAGAACCCCCATAGTACAAGGGTGCATCTGCAAATAACTGTAGATAAAAATAGGAGTTAATAACCTTATAGCAAGGATAAAGAAGCTATGGTATAAGTGTAGAAGACAGATCCATAATTCCATAGCTTGAACGAGCAATAGTAATAACTGGAGAGGCATATGTTAACATTCCATCAATATATGATTTCTTCTAATTTATCTAATTTTGTTCGATACTAACATTTACTCTTTCTTTTCCCAAGGACTTAAAATATCGTACATGAACAAAAGGAACAAGTACTGTGTGCTTGAGGGACATATGTCATAAGAGTGAAACTTCTTTTAGAAAGTCAAGTTAAAATTTTTGAGATTTTTAGGCCATCAAAATTTCAAGGGAATGGGTACCTAGTGGCTAGTATAACGAGGGGCAAAACACTTCATCTCGGTAATCTCTCATGCTAGACCCATATGGACTCAGCTTTTTCTATGGTTTAAGTAAACTTGTAAACTGTTACTATGTAAACGTGGGAGATGCTAGAAATCCACTAGATGAATATAACAGAAAAACACCAATTGCAGCTTCTTACCAGATTGATACAGATGGAATAAAAGAATAGATTCAGATCTCCAACCAAATTTCTTAGTATAACTTTACACGTTTCTTTCTCAAAAAATTTCCACAAATATATGCATTATTTAGCATAAGAGATGAGCAAAACCTAGAACACCAGTAAATAGCTACATTATCACTTGAGCAATTGTTCACGCAGAGTTGAGAATAGATATAGGAATCACATTGTGTATCAATAATTTTTGCACAAACTTAATTCTTGATGAATTTTACTTTACAAAGCAGCTACACAAATGAAACACTCGTCAGATTATAAGTCCCCAAGTAAATAGTTCTAAAGTGACTCCAACACTATATCAATGGCTTACCAGTCCAATGAAATTACTGGCAGAAAAGACAGAATTTTATTACCTTGCATATCAAAATGTCAATCCCAAGGAACCACTTTCTTCGCTCTGAATGGCCACGGCCCCCCTACAAAACTGCTTAGCTTCAAAGCTCCGCTCAAGAGGTCGAAGAGGAGAGTCAAGATGAGCTTCCGAATTTAGCTTGGGATAAACCCTTTGTCCCCAACCTATATCCTGCTGCACTACATTTGAACATTCTCCCAGAATAACTGATGCAGGGCCTTGTACCTTGTACCCTGTATTGCTGCCATTACCTGTTGAAGAAGATGCAGACAACTAAAACAGGAAACAACACCAAAGCTTTCATCAGTACTTGATGTTGATGTCACATACAATACTCTCTCCTTGTTACACTGCATAATAGGAACAAATTCTTCTGAAGACAAAAATAAACGTTAGGAATTTAACTCATGTATTCTATATTAACTGAGAACAATCATGTATCCACAGGTAGCCTTCACAGTGAAGTTATATGCAAGAAGGCAATTCTTTATAGCTTCTGTAAATTTCCATGGGACTCTTTTAGGAATAGAATTTCATTGCATAATTCAGTCTTTCCAAATAGACAAATAACTTGCATTTGGTGGATTACAAAAAAGGATGGAAAGAAATCAGTGTTACTTATTGAGTTATTGTTAACTGTCAACCGTAATTCCTGAAGAACTCCTTCTCAAGATTAAAGCAAATATTAAACCTTCTGATCTCATAAGTTATGTCAATGGATTTTGAATTAAAATTCCAGACCACAAATAGCTGCTATAGTATTAGCAGTGCACATACAATTATTCAAGTTCACAACATACAGATCCGTAACCATTTGTTGAAGCTTGTTGGACTAATAAGCACATGATAGAGTCAATTAGAAGTTGCTAATAGTAATCCTCTCTTATCAGAACGTTAACAACTAGAGACAAAAAGCATTTGTGTAAAAAATACCTAGATCTCATGGCAGAATTAGAATCTTCTATCTTTTTTATTTTTAGTTTCTTTCCACTTCTAGTTTCATTTTACATGAGCGAGCCTTCTGCATCACAATAACCAAGCCTCTGAGGCCAATCGATATTCAACATTCTCACAAACCATATTTAAGCAAATGTCAAGCAGAAACACATTTTAAAGATTTCAGTGTTCTCGCAGATCGCACTTAGTGTCCAATTGTGACTTTTGAGTGGAAAATGAAAAATAGTATAATTCATAAAAGGATAACAATATGACTGATATTATAAATGAATAACAAGTATCTGGATTATTGAACAATTTTAGACAATTATTATGGAAATCCAAATTCCCAAAAAAACAAAAACAAAGGAATCATACAAAGAACAAAAATTCTAGATTTGCTATAACGTGATAACAGCAAAATAAACCCAGTATTTACAGAGAGAAATTTAGCTTACTTATTACGCTCCAATATTTACTACCATATCATACTAACCTAATAACATCACAAACATTAAAACCAAAATTAAAAAGTGTGAAGTTACCACACCCCTTCCCTATGTATAAACGAACACCCCGCCACACTAGCTTCACCGTGATATCTACTTCCGCTGGCGGCCCCCATCAGAGCCTTCTTAAGCTCCTCCGTCATGTCCTCCTTCTTGGGCCCTGTTGCCGGGGCTGGCCTTCCAGAACCTTCTAGGTGCCTTACTTCCCTTCTCACTCCCTTGCTGCTGACGTCAGCCTCCCTTGGAGGCGCGGCGCTGACCTGACCCCCAGCAGGGGTGACCGGAATCGACCCGCGAAGCTCATCAACCGCCTTCCTCAGCATCCCGTTCTCCGCCTGGATTGCCTCCAGCTGCTTCTTCACCGACATGCACGCCTCCGCAACGTCAGTAGCCCCCTTGCTGACATCATCGTCCTTCACCTTCCTCTTGTCTTCTGCCACGTGCTCGATCGAGATCTTGCTCATCACCAGCAGAGGCAGCTTGCTGAGTGAGAGAGCCCTGTTCCTGTCCTCCGCCAGCGCGGCCCGGAGCTCCGGGGGTACTCTCACCCCCCACCTGAACCTAACCGCCGCCTTGCTCTCCAGACGGGCGCACGCCTTCGTTGGCGCTCACCTCAACCCCGTGAGCAGGATCGCTTATCCTCTCCCCAAATTCCGCGGCCCCAATCCCGTTGGCTTTCTTCAGCCCGGCGTTCCCCCAAACCGCCGACGGGTCGGTTCTCCATGTCGGCGATCTTTTCTCCGGCGGCAAGATGACCGCCGATGCCGACCGACTTCTTGAACGAGAAGTCACCGAATCTGGGTTTGAAGAGAAAACGGAGAAGCTAGGGTTAGAGTTACTCCGATGACGTTGAACTCGGCGGTCATCGAATGGGAGGCTCCCGCCGGCGAGCCGAAGCTGCGATGCCGGTCTTGATCGAGACGGTGAAGGGATTCGAGGGGTCGTTCGGGCGGTAGGAGGCGCGAAGCGAGGGGCCGGATTCGAAGGCGGTTAGCAGATCCAGGCGGAGCTCCTTCGAGTCGCCGGCGGAGATGCCGGAGAGAAACGGGAGGCCGAGGATGCTGATGGGGATCTTAGCTCGGACCAAGGGCTTCTGGTCTTCTCGGAATTTGAGAGAGGCCTTCATGATTAGGTTTTAGGGTTTTCGATTTGGGAGGACGATTTCAGATTTTTTAGGGTTAGGGTTTTTTTTTTAAATATTGGAGGAAGGGCGGAAAATGCGACGAGATTTGGGCACTTGATGATGGGATTCGGAGGTAAGGTTACCGCGAGCATGTCACTACTGAGAGTGGGTTTTTGTCCACAGATAATAGGAGGATATGCTATGGACCCTGTTGTTTGAAAGAACTACGAGAATGGCACGGAATTTGAATCCCCAAATCGAGATCATATCTTTTATTCGTCGTCTCATATGTTTAGGGGACTAAATTTGAATTTTAAACCACGGCGTCGGATACCACGGGAGTCACGGGGCTATTTTTTTAGTGTGCTAAATCTTTGGGTGTTTCATTTTAGCCCCGCTATTTGTTCGTATTCACACATTTCAATTATGTGCGAGCTCCAAAGATCTTTGTATGGTCTCAAGCAGTTTCTGTATGCTTGGTTTAGGAAACTAACTGAAGTTGTTTGATCCTTTGGCTTACATAGGAGTAGCAATGGTCATTTAGTTTTTTTTTTTCAAAATTGAGGGGGTCATAAGATATTGATGGTGGTTTATGTTGATGATATTGTGATCACAGGTGGTGATGATAAAGGCATTACAGAATTGAAGACATATATTGGGAGCAAAGTTTGCACCAAAAACTTAGGAAGCTAAAATATTTTCTTGGAATTAAGGTAGCATGATCTTCTCCTCAAGGTATTAATTTTGTTACACAAAGATAGTATCTTCTTGATATGCTTGATGATGCGAAGATGTCATATTTTAAGCCTATTATTTCTCATATGGATCCAAATGTAAAGTTATTTCCTAGCCATCGGGAGTCATTTTCTGATCCAGGATGCTATCGCAGATTAGTTGGTAAGTTGAATTACTTAACAGTTACCAGATATGATATTTCCTTTCCCGTGAGCGTGATCAGTTAGTTTATGGTAGACCCAGAGATTACCATTGGAGTGCAATTATGCATATTTTTCGATATTTGAAGGCTACACCAGGGAAATGAATTATGTATAAGAACTTTTAGCATTCCAATATAGTGGGATTTACATATGTTGATTGGGCTGGATCATCAAGTGATCATAGGTTAACTTAAGGATTTTGTGTGTTTGTTAGGGGCAATTTGGTTTCATAGAAAAGTAAAAAGTAAAATGTTGTTTCACATTCAAGTGCTGAATCTGAATATAGAGCTATGGCTAACACTACTAGTGAGTTAGTATAAATAGGTTTCCTTCTTCAAGAGTTGGGATATAAATCTAAGGAACATGTAAAGCTCTACTGTGATAACAAGGCTGCTATTTATATTGCTAACAATCTAGCCTTTCATCAGTGGTCAAAGCATATTGAAGTTGATTGCCACTTTGTTCGAGAGAAGGTTGACGAAGCGGTTATTGATACAGTACATATGAAGATTGGTTATCAACAAACAGACATATTTACTAAGCCATTGGGAAGGATTCGCGTGCAGTATATTTATACCAAGTCGGGCATGTATGATATATATGCTCTAACTTGAGGGGAAGTGTTGAAAAAGTCACATAATGTATCTATTGCGTGCTTCTTTATATAGGTACACAATAGGGGCAATTCAATAATTTGTATTTTATACGGCAAGGATATAATATGTATGAGATGAGGATCTAGTACCTTATCTCATTACATTTTCTCCCCAAACATGAGTGTTCATAAAAAGTAAATCATGTTGACCTAAACTAAAATATTGAAAATAAAAACTACAACGAACCTATCCACAGTTCATTCGAAGTATAATTCTAGTCACAAATCAGCATGGAAAAGTAAATCATGTTGAGGTAAACTAAAATCCCAAAAATAAAAGTTCATAAAATTATATAGAAAAAGAAAGTTTAGAAAAAGAAAAGAACCTAGAGTTCACAATGTATCGATATTCACAATGCGAGGTGATAAGGGGTAAATAAAACAAAGTTGCAATTGAATAACTATCAAGTTATAGTATAGAAAGATGTTGATCCCCTGAGAAATGTGTTGTAGGAAATAATCTGAATTGGTTCGTAGAGTTTTGTGTGGACAAATAGGAGCGAAAGTGTAGAGATATAAAGGGTGAGTGATTATTTGAAAAATAAAAAAACTAGATTGAGAGGAGAGAAAGAGAGATGAAAAAAATTAGAGAAAAATAAAATCAAGAAAACAAATAAAAGAAAACAAAGAATAAAATGGAAAAGAACAAAATCAATAAAGAGAAATTTGACCACAAATATGAAGATCACAACAAGTAAAAGATGGAGGAAATCAATTAGAGAACTGAAGAGTCTAGAATTGAATCCACTAGTTGAATTCATTTATGATTTAAAAACTACTCTTATTTTATCATATTTTATTTTAGATTTATTAAGCATAGAGTATCAAACCACTTAAGGAAAATATAATCTATCAAATTATCGTCCAAGTAAAATCAACATTCATGAAAAGAATAATAACTAGATATTTCTTCTAGAATTCATAAGCATAACCTATCACTCCATTCAAGATAACTAAAATCTTGCATGAAAACTCGGCCTCGTACTCGTCGACTGATCGACCCCCTTGCTTGAGCTCGACAAATCTACGTAGGAGCTCATCTTGGGCCGACTGAGGAAAATACTTCCTATTGAAGCGATCCGTGAACGTTTCCCACAGAATCGGCCTCTCTACGATCCGTGAACGTTTCCCACAGAATCGGCCTCTCTAGGTGTGTCTTCTCAGCAGCCCACCAGATTCTAGCTGTATCCGTGAGCTAGGTGTGTCTTCTCAGCAGCCCACCAGATTCTAGCTGTATCCGTGAGCTGAACATCCATGAGATCTACCTACTCTATAAGGGGAATATGAGTCACCAAGAGGGTAGTCTCCGTGACCTTGAGGAACTCCTCTGCTGGTAAAGGTCCCTCGGCACCAGTAAAGGAAGGAGGCCGCATATATCGAAACTCTCTAACACCAGGCTCCGAGCAAGGTGGATGCTGGTGCTGAGGCTCCTGCTGCAAATGCCCAGCTAAGAACAGCTGGTTCGTCACCAGCCCCTAAATCATCGCTAAAAGTTGCTGCGGATCTGCTTCAGGCATCTGACCACTGCCACTGGATGGGTTACCATTACTACGAGTACCCACCATGGTTCTGAAGGAAACGAGGATCAAAAGGATAACTAAGGTTAAGATCAAACAATATATTTGGAAAAGAGGGACTAAAACATAGTTATTAAGATAATAATATAAGAACTTAATTATAGTCTTACGGATGGAAAATGATATGTAGTTGAATCGTCCAATACATTCTTACTAGTGGGAACTCGGGACCGTGACCTGCATGGGCCACCACTAAAGCCTGTCACGCCCCGCTTCCCAAAATACCGGGGAATCGGAGCGTAAACAAGCCCGCGACGTATTAGATTAAGAAGAAATATAATATTATTATTTTTTCTTTTCTTCTCAATCCAATACGCTAAGCGTCAAATATACAAATCTCGATCACAGGTGCCCGATCACAAATAGTAAGAATATAAAGACAACCCAGAATAAGAAATAAACATATCATCAACAGATCATCCCAGCCATAAAATATAGGTTCAACATACCCTTACTACAACAACAGTTCAACTAGAAAATAAGAAATACATAGTCCATAATAAAAGGAAATACTAACAATATAACCACAACCGACACCAGCTAAAGAAAATATTATAATAGTGTTCTATCAGCTACTATAGAAAGAAAAGCACGTCTAGACTTTAGTTTGTTCTTCCACTCCATCGAAAGGACACTCTGGCTGGGTATACTCCGGCTCGGGTGCATCATCGAACTGAACATGTTCGTCTCCTAAGTCTGACGTACACTAGAGAAAACAGGTGTATGTCAGCGTGTATGGCACACGGCAAGATCTCACATGAACAAATAAAACGGTCGTATGACTCATGCTATGACAGTAATAATACTAATATGAAGGACAATGGTACATGCAACTGGAAATCTAATGATAACATACAGCTGTGTGGAAACGGTAACTAGGTCGAATACTAATCATCCTAAGACTCACTGGTCCATCTCTCAAATAGGTCCAAGTTTGCATTACCGGAAGACTAACTGTTCACCATCCCCTACGCGCATCCAATCCCGAAAAACAGGCGGCTATAGGACTACACGCAATCTGATCTCGACCCGGTCCGGACTTAGGCAAAGCTCAGGTGACGAAACAGGTCACGGATCCAAGTGGTGAAACAGGTCACTTGGTCCATCAAACCAACCCCAGGATGAAACAGGTCTCTGGTGCGGCCTGGAAGTTAAGTAAACAATCACATTCGATCATGCGAACTAAGACTTTCCCAACCCAACTCTTTTCGTTTTTCTCAGTCAACCCAATCACATTCGATCATGCGAACTAAGACTTTCCCAACCCAACTCTTTTCGTTTTTCTCAGTCAACCATAATCTTCACTGAAACTCGGGTTCACCACCTAACTCAGTCAACACACTCACACATGTCACTAAGTCTGTTCATGATGCACGAGGCCACTAAGTTATGAACCACTAAGGTTCTCAACACATCAACAGATCATGAATATAGTAAGGCATAATAAACATGATTACGCAGGTTTATGAAGCAGACAAGAGAACTATAATGTACATGAAATGCATAAACAATTACAGCATGAAAATAATACATGAGTGGACTTTATTATTATCTTACCGCTGGATATCCGAATTTCTCATACAAATTATCTGTACTTACGTATTCTCTAATATAATAATATAGTAAAAAGAAATCTAGAAACCGATGTCGTTTTGTGTATGAAATGTCGCGCTCTACGACGAACAGCCATATTATCATAAATAATAATATTCTTTTTTCCAAAAATTATTCTTTAAAACTATTTCTCATTATAACTAATTAAAAATAAAAAAGATTTATATAATATAACATAAAATTTCCTTTCGGCATGAAAAATAATATTCTTCTATTATATAAATTTCCTTAACTAATTTCTTTTTGATAAAATTCCATAAATTATAATTTAGCACATAACTGGTCGTTTCATGTCCGGAATTCTTAAAAATGCAATTAAAATATTATTAATCTAATTTTCACGATGCGCTCGTAATCTTCATTCCACGCAGATATTCAAAAATATGTATTAACCATGATAATAATTTAAACATTTTAAATTTTTTTCCAAAAATTATTCTTTAAAACTATTTCTCATTATAACTAATTAAAAATAAAAAAGATTTATATAATATAACATAAAATTTCCTTTCGGCATGAAAAATAATATTCTTCTATTATATAAATTTCCTTAACTAATTTCTTTTTGATAAAATTCCATAAATTATAATTTAGCACATAACTGGTCGTTTCATGTCCGGAATTCTTAAAAATGCAATTAAAATATTATTAATCTAATTTTCACGATGCGCTCGTAATCTTCATTCCACGCAGATATTCAAAAATATGTATTAACCATGATAATAATTTAAACATTTTAAATCATCATACTAACAACAATATTACCACAAAATAATTTATCTATATCTAAACACGATATTAATCATTAATTAAAAGCAAGATGGATGCGAGATCTTGCCTCGGTGTATTCGTCGAACGTGTCAATGTCGACGTGCGAGATCAGATCCGACGTGGGGCACGGCGTCAGGAAGAGCTCCGGCGAGGGCTGCGGTGATGGGGTAGTGACGAACTCGGCAGCGGCGAGCTGGGGCTGGAGCTCGGAATGGTGACGTATGCAGCAAGCGGAGGAGGAGACGGGGGAGAGCAGAGCTCTGTTGGCATGGTGACGACGAGGGCTGAGCAGACGGGTAGGGAAGCTTGACGGTGACGGAAGCGGAGCAGGAGGGCAGCAGGGGTTCGGGCGGTGACAGGGACTCGACGGGGAGATCGGCGCTGGGCTTGGTGCGGAGACGACGACGAGGCGAGGTCAGAGGCGGAACTAACGAC